AGAGAGAGAGAGAGAGAGAGAGAGAGAGAGAGAGAGAGAGAGAGAGAGAGAGAGAGAGAGCTTGGTGACATTTGGATCCAGACTCGACATTGGACTTCAGACATTTTGACGAGGGATTATTTGGGACTTGTAACGAGACTTGGTGTTGATGACTTTCCCATCTCTCCCCTCCTCTTCATCTGATCCCCTCCTCTTCATCTATGCATGTCTGGACCTGGCGCCTCTTCCTGTGTATAGCGCCAGGCCCCTTCACACCTTGTGGTGAGAATGATGGATGTTTAGTCTGCATTGAGACATTGATTGGGGTCGTTGTTAGTATTCTAGCCTTCTGCTTCGCTATCTTGTACTACGTGAAAGAGGTCAGTCCCGGTCAGGTCAGGACTTGTATCTAAATCTTCCACTGCGCTATCAAACACCATTGTTGTATGTATCAGGATGCACACTGCTTGTTGAGATTTCACTAGCACTGCATTGTCCATTCAGTCCTTTTCATCACATTGCGGATCCTCGGTTATTATGTACATCGCCCAACTGGGCATGTAACACAGAGCTTCCCGTTAAACCGTAGGCAGAAAGGGAGAAGAGGACAACAAACGAGGGGCTATGACAAACTGTTTCATCGGAGTTTCACCGGCTCATCAAGAGGCTATATATCGTCAAACAGTAACCACAGCCGGGGTTAAGGTGGATTATCACTTACTGTGTAATCAGTTAGGGGATTCTGCAGACTGTTGAGGGTTCAGCCTCCTGACGAGTCGGTGAAACTCCAACGAAACAGTTTGTCATAGCCCCTCGTTTCTCGTCCTCTTCTCCCTCTCTGCCTACGGTTTACCGGGCAGCTCTGTTTGACGATATATATATATATAAAGCAGATAGCCGCCACCTTCTTCCACAAAATAGAACATACGTTCATAGGTTTAGTAGACTCCGGTTGCCTATATCCTTGGTAGATTTCGGTTGACCTTTCATTCGGTGGTTAGACACGAGCTACCATGCCTAGACATGTAAGTAGGTAGAGTGAGGTATAATTGAGGGAAGAATATAACTTTAGTTTCAAAAAAAGGAAAAAAAGGTTTAAAAAGGACATACGGTCATTATCCCTGTATCTAGACTGAAATCTGCCCCAAATATGTATAGCTATAATGATCGTATGCTCTATTCAGAGGAAGACAGTAGCAACTTAGTGAGGGACCTAGTCGTTTTTGGGTTACTTCTTGGCATGTTCTTCATGCCATTGCCATGACCACCCCATCAGATCAAGAGCCTGCATGCATGGACTAAGGACCACATGTTGGAAGGTCTGCTAGGTACAGACTACTATAGGCACGAAGGGTGCAACACACTTCTTCTGCAGATATTTTGCTGTCGAGCGCCAGGGTTGTCATGAGGGGATCCCCTCCCGGAAACCGGGGTCCCCGCCCCCGCCCCCGCCTCCGCCTCCGCCTCCAGACCCCCAGCCCAGGGGTGGTGGACCCCCGGACCCTGGCACTGGTGACCCCCAATCAGGGGTGGGATTTTGTTATTATTATTTTTTTTTTTTACACGACCCCCTACCCCTGTCACCGCTCCCCGCCCC